AAAATCTTAGTCAGGAACAAGTCCAACCACAATTAAATCATTAAAGTTAGCGGAGGGCTAACAGGAAGTTCTGGTGTGCCTCTCTATGGGGCGCTGTGGGCCGCAGTTTTTGTATTCATCCAGGTAAGTTTTCTGTACAGCGGAATGCTTTTTTGTCTTCATGTGCTACTGCGAGCGCTTTATACGGAATAAATGAAGCTCAACCCAACGCTGTACTCCAGTTCTTCTCTATACATCCATGATTCAAAATCTAGCCGTCTCTTGTTAGTTTCCTCCAGCAGTTAATACCATACTTTAAGAAAAGCAACATTTTGAGTTTTTTATGGGTACAGGTGTTAACTGAGGACAGTCCCACCCACAGTGCTCCAAGCTCTAGATAAATTATTCAACATTATAGTTTTAAACCAGAAGTGAATCCATAATATACACAAGGTTATACACAGAGTGGTTTCAGTAGCCACAATTATAAAAAAACTTCAGAAGGGTGTGTGTGTTGTGTGTGGTTTTGAGACCGCAGCACTGCTCAGGACTCTCCTCCCCAAAGCTGTAATCAGTGGATTAATGAGTCCTCAGCGGCTTTTCATGTTCACACTGTCAGCCTGAGTGTGTGTAATGATTTGTGCTCCGTCTTGGAAGAGCAACACATAATTAAGAAACACACAAGTTGGTTTCACTCTCGCAAACCAAACATAACACCTTTCACACGCTGGTCTTTCTTTAGGTATGACGTTAGCGCTCAATAAATACTTAAAGTCACACCATGAGGGGAAAAAGTAAACAACAGGAGGAAAAGTAAAAATTGCAGCGGCTGAAGGATTAGTGGCTTCTAAATGTGTGTGGGGTTTGTGCTAAGGAAACGATTCCTCTCGGGAGAGGGAATTACTTCTCTCAGGAATAGCGGGAATGGAGGAGCGAGGCTTTCTCTTAAGATCACTCACCTATAGCGCCGCTGCTCTGACGGAGGAAAGCTTTGAAACTCTAAGATGAGACGCATCATTAGGGAAGACACAAGACTAAAAAGAATGTGGAAGGGAGAGAAGAGAAAGAGGGAGGAATGGAGAGGAAGAGGGATGCAGCTTGATGTGCATTGTCATTGTTTGTTTTGGTGGGACACTGGGACCGTTTTCCCCTCCAGGATATGTTCTGGTCAGGCTTTGACGCTGTTGTGGCCTGGAGAGTAAAGCGCATTCACTGCTTATCCCCCACTG